GTGTTGATAGATAAATAAATTACAGAACTTTTTTTTTTAATGTTCGTCATATTTGAAGCGGAGAGGAGCATCGAGCAGACCAACCAGGGAAAAATCTAGTCAATCTGCCTGGTGGCATTAATCGTATTAATTGTCAAGTGCCAAAAAATAATCGATTAATGTTTTTCTGACGATTAATTGCACACGATACGATTATGCCCAACCCTACTACATATTTAATGAATGAAATTGATTAAAACTTTGAAGAAATCAGTTTTCTGCTAGCTCAGCTGTTTTTAATCCCACAAAGTGACTGAAACCAGATGTTTTTCTCAGAGTCCAGCTGCCTGTGGTTGAGCTTGATGTTCAGGATGGAGAATCTCCTCCTGCAGCTCCACATCTTCACATGCTCAACCATCTTCAGCACATGAAGGAGTTCAGTTCTGACTCCAGCAGAAGAATTCAGGAAGTAAAAGTGAAAGTTTTCTCATCTGCAGCTTCAGGCTCTTTAAGTTTCTTCAGCTCAGAACCTTGAGAGCGTCGCTGCTGGATGAGCTCCTCCTGCAGAGATACTCGTTTGTCTGCATCTCTGGAAGGAGAAATAAGAAAGTCCAATTTTCCTGGATATCATGCCGGAACAATTAAAGGCTGGAAGAGTAACGCGGGCAAACGGAGTGCGATGTGGCGCACTTATCGCTCAGCCGGCCTTTCTGCCAAGCCTCCGACAGGAGGAGGAGACGAGAAGAATATTTCTGCTGGGATTAAAGAAGCTGAAACTTTTCTGCACCATTTGATGTCTGAAAGCAGCGATGCAGCGATTGATTCATTAAAGCAGAGCTGTAATGAGGGGGGAAATCAGAAGTCAAAGTTACATTTAAACAGGAAATATAATTGGAATTTCACACAGAGAAGTCCCTTTGTACAATTCTGATTAAAGGAAAATTAATTGTATGAAAATGTCCGTATAGATACAGAAAATTAGATCTAGCAAAGCTTGGACGGCTCATTCTAAAAATATTGTGTACAGGATCAAGTTTTTCCTGCTCTTGTCTTTTTTTTAAACGAAGGTCCAAATCTAGCTGTTAATTTTATCTGAAATTAGAGTGAAGCATGCAGGCGTGGAAGTTGAAATTAGCCTAAAGATGTTTCATTTACAAAGACAGAGAGACTTTGTCAGCCGGCGATTGTTTCTCAGCATTATCTCCGCCTGCTTTTAATTGCTTTGGAAGTGAAATTAACAGAATTAGAAAAATTGCCTCTCCCTTTTTCTACAAGCGTCTTTATTCACGGTATTGTTGTGTGCTTTGTATAGATTATAGACTCCTTTTGTTCCAGTATTGTAAATATATTCGCCCCCCAGTCACGGCTTTAGAGCCGAAACAATCCCCCCGTTCGTTCGACACAAATTAATTTACAACCTGTTCTGGATCCAGAGGAAACAAAATCCTGGATCTGTGTCGGTGTTTGTTTCTGTCTTCCTCATCCTCATCATCGTCTCTTCCCTCAGCGGTCTGCAGCGAGTTCTCAACCCGCCCTAATCTGCTTAAAGAAACGCCAACCATGAACGAAGAACCAGATCCTGGTGAACTCTGGGGAGCTGAAGCTCATTACGGTCTGAAGAGCGTCACGAGAGAGAGGCAGAGATATTCAAGTTTGTTATAAAACATCAATAAAGCATTAAAAATTAAAGCCTCAAAAACATCAATACAGCATCAATAAAATGTCAATAAACATCAATAAAATGTCAATAAACATCAGAAACACATTAAAGCATAGATAAAACATCAATAAAGCATCAATAAAATGTCAATAAACAGCAATAAAATGTCAATAAACATCAGAAACACATTAAAGCATAGATAAAACATCAATAAAGCATCAATAAAATGTCAATAAACAGCAATAAGACATCAATGAAATGTCAAAGCATCAAAAAACATCAAAGCATCAATAAAATGTCAATAAACATCAAAAGCCACGTTAAAGCATCAATAAAACATCAATAAAGCATCAATAAAACTTCAAAGCATCAAAAAACATCAAAGCATCAAAAAACATCAATAAAACATCAATAAAGCCTCAGTAAAATGTCAATAAAACATCAACAAAGCATCAATAAAACGTATACATATGTGTAATATACAGGGGTTAGACAATGAAAGTGAAACAGCTGTCATGTCAGTGTGGGAGGGTTCATGGTTAAACTGGACCAGTCTGGTGGTCAGTCTTCATTAATCACACATTGCACCAGTAAGAGCAGAATGTGAGGGTTCAGTTAGCAGGGTCAGAGCACAGTTTGGATCTAAATATTACAAAGTACACAACATTATGGTGACATACCAGAGTTCAAACCATAACATCCCTTATGTTATGGTCTAAAACCAGCTGTTTCATTGTCTAACCCCTGTATATAAATATACTTTCACACCACGTGTTAAACATGAATTAATGGTTTATGGTAAAGCATTAATAAATGTGTTAATCTGTAGCTTGTTAACTATGACTCATCCTTAATTAATGATGTTTTCAAGGTTAACTAACCTTTTATTAATGATTAAGTAAGGCTAAACAAGGTGTAGTTATTATAAAGTTCTGCAGATATCTTAAAATATTATTCTACATTTATTTTTTTAAATACTTTTTAATTTCCAGCCCTTTTCAGGCCACAGACGGCCCGAGCGTGGCCTGCGGGCCGCTGGTTGATGATGTCTTTCTCACAATTAGAATCATTAAGGAATGAGTGCCATTAAACGGACATGAAGCAGATTTTTGTGGCTGTAATCTCGGGGCAGAAGCAGAGGAAGTGTTGGGTATAATTACGGCGGTCAGCAGGGATTACCACAGAGAATGGATAACGATCAGCCGGCTCTAATCACTCTTTTAGCTGCACTTTTAGGTATACTGTAATTTGGCTTTAAGGTCCCTCTTGGCTTCGTGTTATTAATCTCTTGGATTAGAGCATTCAGCGTGTCCAATTCTTCAAACTCCGTTTTAAATTAAACCATTTAAAATAAATTTTATCACTCTATTTAGGCTCGTTTTATTTCCTGTCTGCAGATCAGAACCAAAGTGGGTTTTCATGTCTCCAGTTAAAGACTTCACGTTTTTCAGGATTATTTTCTGGTTTTAAACTGCACTGGTTGTAGTTTTTGTATGAAATAGTTTCCTTTTTGTTGCCTCGGATTATTTTAAAACAGCTAAAATGAGCTTTTAGCTGAAGCGAGCAGCTGAGTTGTGATGTGTTCACTGACTGGAAAAAAAACAGGACATCAGAGGTTCAGTGGTTGAAATGCACACAAAGCTAAAACCTTTTACTTTTGTTCGACTGCAGGTTCCGTCGGGGATCTGGACGGCGGTGAGGAGAACACGGCCGACACGCTGAGCCTATCAGGAGAGGAGGGCGGAGCCTCTGACCCGGAGGATTCTGCAGAGGGCGACAGCTCCAGCCCGCGGGCGTACACACCGGTGCACAACGAAGGTAAGACCAAGGATTTTATAAATCAGCTCAAATCTTCCTTTAAACACTACGACTCTGTCCTCATCTAAAGACGCAGAGAGGTTTTAATCTCATC